GTGTTTGTGGATTTAAGGTGGAGGTGGTCATTGTGTTTGTGGATTTGAGGTGGCGTGAAGATGGCCGGGTCAACAGCGGGGTTCGGTTTTTTGGTGGCTATGACCTAACTATTGAACTGTGACTTTAAAATTGATAATTTGTAACTAAAAAAGAATCTATGACCAACAAATTTGAAAATATGTGACCTTTGACATATATATTTTTTTATTTGTGACCAATGAAATAATCTATGACCTATAAAATTTTTTATCTGTGATCGATAAAAAAAATTGTGACCTATAATTTTTTTGATAAACTGTGATCTGAAATTAATTTTTAACTAATTAATGAGATATCTATGACCAAATTGCACAATTAAATATTTAGTTAATTAATAAAAAGTAAAAACTTGATTTTTGCAATTTTAAAACTGTAGCACTTGATTTTTGCAAATGTCAAAGTTAATACCTGATCCATGAATTTTTTCCATTATTTTAGATTTGGATCACTGTTAGGCATAGCTTTAGTTTGGGTTTGGGTTAACTTGTTCTAGGCTTTATTTTGAGCTTGTGTTCGCTCTTGGTTTGGGCTTCCGTTTAGGTTTGGATTCTTAAATCTTGTCAGTTTCATCCCGAAACTATTCAGTAGCGTCAATGTCATCCTCTCACTACATATAGGAGTGAATTTCATCCCTCGACAATTAAGTAGCACCGCTTACGTCTTCAGCAGTTAAGTATCACAAAATACATCCTAGAACTATTAAGTAGCATCAATTCGTCCTTCAACCACTCAAAAGAATGCATTTTGGAATCCATTTCGTCCCTCAACTATTTTGAAATGCCACTTTGGTCCTTCAACAATTCATTCTCATCAATTTTGTCCTTCAACTATTCATATACATAAAGATCATCCCTCCAAAATCAAAAAACATTAATTTCATCCTTAATTTTACATATGCATCAATGTAGTCCCTATACTATTTATATACAATAATTTCGTCCTTTCTGCTATTCATGTGCATCAAATTTGTCCCTTCACTATTCAAAGTCTACATATTCATCCTTTAACTATCATTATATACATCAATTTCGTGTTCACCTATTCAGAAGTGTTTAGTTTGTCCTTCAAATATTCATATGCTTCAATTTCGTTGCTCCACTACAAAGAAGATTTTTTTTCCTTCATCCAATTACTTAATAGCATCAATTTTCACCCTTCAACTATTTATATACATCAGATTCTTACCTCCAGTACTTGGAAGCTTCACTTTCATCCAGCATCTAATCATTAACATCATTTTCGTCCCGGGCCTATTCAGAAGTGTCAATTGCATCCTTCGTCTATTCACAATCATCAATTTCGTCCTTCCTCTATTCAACAACATAATTTTTGTCCTTCAACTAATCATATGCATCAATATCATCCTTTCATTATCCATATGCATTAAATTCTTTCCTCTATTAAACATTTGCATCAACTTCAACTATTCATATACAAGAGTTGAGTCCTTCCACTATTCATTTGCATCAATTTCGTCCTTCCACTAACCAGAAATTAAACTTTTGTCCTTCAACTATTAAATAGCAACCATTTTGTCCTTTAACTATTTTGAAGAGTTAATTTCGTCCTTCAACTCCTCATGAGAATCAATTTCATCCCTTGACTTCGCAGAACTGTAACTTCCATTCTTCAACTATTATGTAGCACTACTATTGCCCTTCTATTATTCTTATGTATCAAATTCCTCCCTCAAATTTACAGAAGCTTCACTTTCATCCTTCATCTATTCATATACATCAATTTCATCCATGCTGTATTCTAAGGGTGTGTTTGGTACCCATTAAAATTTTCATTCTCATTCTTCTACTCATTTTCAACTACACTTTCTTCATTAAAATAATATTTTCCATCATATCAATAACTTTTCCTTCTTTTTCAACTACACATTTCCATCAATCTACTATTTCAAAATACATTCTTCCAAAATAATATCCATCAAACACACCCTAAATGTCAAATCAAGTGAGAATCATTTTTTAGACGATTTTAGTCTTACTATAATTCAATTATTTCAATAATACCTAACTTTTCATTTTTCAATATATAATAAATATTACAAAATTCTTGTCATATATGAATTTTGTGTTATTAACTCTCAATTAATTAATATTCACATTAATTTAGATTTAATTAATCTTGACTTGATGAATCTCAATCTACATGGATCTAGAGTAATTATAGATGAATTTACTTATATTCATGTATTTAGAAATTTTAATGGATGTTTAAACTTTAAATTCATATATTAGTAATTAATTCTTATGTACCAAATGACAAATGTAGTATAAAAAAATATTGTTCGTTTGTAGTATTTTATCATCACAAAAAATTTGAATCGTAGAAGTTGAGTTTTGAGAGTACAATTTTCTTCTCTTAAATTCTATTCTAAATTTTATTTTTTTAATTCATTTGACACCCATCAAATTCTCCTAACAAATTGGTATAATATTACTTTTACAACACTTATAAAGTATTTCATAATAACGTGAAATACATGTTTAATTTTGACTAGTATACAATATAAGAGAGAACATTTTAACAACAAATAAAAATCATTATTATAAAAAAAATGTTTCAACAATGATTTATGAAAGTAAATTAAATTATTAGTAGGAAACAGTTTTTTCATTTCTCAACAATACACTCACTTGATTTCTTGATTTACATTCATTTTGTATTAATAAAATTAGTTAAATTTTATAGCACAATTACTTCCACAGATTAAAATAGACAAATAAATAAAAACTAAGTATAAAAAAAAAGTTGAACGATGCCACGTCGAAGTGAGAAAGACAATTCGTCATCGATCTTAAACCATCTAGAAGGTGTGAATACGTGAGAACATTCGATTTCACATTTTGTCCTTATAATTTTTGACATGTAGTCAACAATACCCTCAACATTCATCAACTTATATTAAAGCAATTTATAGTAAACATAATTAACTTATACTCCATTAAATACAATTATAACTAATTATTAATATTATTGCTTTTAAAAATAAAATAATAGTACTAACGCATATTGTTAACCTTTAAAGCATTATCATATGCAATGAAAAGTGTATAAACGTTTGAAATATTATTATACAATTAAAAATTTATTATTATGTACAATAAAAAGGTTTCGACAATGATTTTTATTTATTTATTTTCTCAATCCATGTCTTGAAGTATGAGTTTAGCCATATAGTTTGACTTGTTATCATTGTTGTTGCAATATATTCTACTTCAACTTATGATTATGCGATCGTTGCTTGTTTCTTTGACATCTAAGAAAATATTTATAAATTTAGTGTGAATGCATAGTTCGATGTAATTTTCATATCGTCCACTGATCATGTTCAATCACTATCCGTATTATTAGAGATTGCGTGATTAAAAAATAGGAAATAGTTTTGAATTTATGTGTAAATTATTTTATTTAAAAAATGTGTGATTGAAAATAAGTTTATAGATAATGGAGGTCAAACGAGTGACTAATTATGGCTGTGGCATTCGAGATAATTCATATTTTTCTATTATTTTATTAATTAATTTTGCTTAATACCTAAGGCTGACTTGAGAGTTTTTTCACTGATTTTGGATGGTACCGTTTAAGCAGGGTTGAAAAAATTAGTGCTTGTTATTTTTTTGGCATCAATTTTGAGTGATTTAAAAATCACTAAAAATTGATATAGTGTAATTTTGACTGATTCTCTCAACTTACAAAATCAACGAGTTTTGACAATTTTTCATATTCTCTTCTAATTTTAACCTTTATAGAATAATTTTTTACAACCAACATATTTTCTTCATAACTAACTTATAAATAAAAATATATTAATTAAAAATTATTTATAAGCAAAAATTTTAAATTATTATTTAAAAAATACTTATATGCAAAATATTACTTATAAGATAAGANTTTTCACAATTAACTTAAATAAAAATATATTAACAAAAAAATTATTTATAAGCAAAAATATTACATTATAATTAAAATATTACCTATAAGATAAGAAAAATTACATTATAATTAAAATTTACTTATAAGTAAAAAATACTTTTATGTAAAAGAAATTGTTTTTAAATAAAAATACTACTAATAAGACAAAAACTCACTTATAAAATATAAAAAATTACTTAGAAGTAGAAAATTCACTTAACATTATTTAAAAGTATAAAATTCACTTATATGTAAAAATTATTAACTTAAAATTTGAAGTAAATATTTAATTTAATTTCATTTTTAAGTTTAATATTAACTTATATGTAAAAAAATTATTTATAAATAAAATATCACTTATGACTAAAAATATTTCATATAAGAAACTATAGACTGAAATTTTTTTACTAATGGACATATATGTAATATTGTTCTTTTAAAAAACTTTCAAATCAATGGATGATAAACTCAGAAGCATGGGTTCGACAGTTTTAAGAATAGATATTAAACCACTCAAAATTGGTCACTCTCAAAATTGATACTTTAAAAAACGCTCATAACTGGTACGTCGAAACTCCCAAACAGGCCCTAAGGAAATCTTTGCTCAGAGCATTTTTGATTCTAATTAATTTCAAAATATATTTCTCTATTCTTTTCAACTACATATTATTCAATAAAATAATATTATAAATAAATTCAAAATTTTTCTTATATTTTAATCAAACAAAGCTCCATCAAATCAATATTTCAAAATGTATTTTGATGAAGGAATGGGGTCAAACAGATCCTTAATACCTAAGAAAATTTAGATGGTGTTTGATGGAAATTAAAATTAGATTTTTAGTGGATTGTGATAAAAGTTTTTGAAATGTGTCGTTGAAAAGATGTGGGACCCATAAAAATGTGGTTAATATTGATTGTTTGACTTTGATTTAGATTAAAATGATATTTTAATCCTGTCCAAACATGCGTTAATTTTAGAGATGGGGCATTTTAAAAAATGTCCACTTTTTTGGATGTCATGAAAAATATCCACCATTTTGAATTTTGTATCAAATTGTCCATTATGCCCTCAATAGAAAAATGAAGCAATTTGTTTTTTTCCCAATTTTTCACAAATTTCGAGAAGTTGCTTTCATGATAAGTTACATTCTTTCAAAATGGTGGATATTTTTGCAAATGAAGAGGAAAAAGTGGACATGTGAAATTTCCTCTTTAGAGACTTCTCCTAGAAGAAATGTGCACCATTATTGATAGTCTTTACAGATCCACTTTGCTTAATACCTAAGGAAACCTAGTGCTTGTCTCGGTGCACTAGTTTCAAAAAAATTGACTTTCCCGTCAACTCAATGGCCCCACTTGCAAAGAGATAAAGCTGATGTTGTTGTGCAAATTTCCATGAGGCTGGCAAAGACAAAAGTCCATTTTACCCTGTTGTTACTGTATGTAAATAATTTATAGGAAATGAATGGAGGACAAAATAGATAATTGTTCCCAACCATAAATAAGGAGTACAATGATTCATCGGACATTATAAGGCCTTGTATGGGAGGGATTAAAATTGAAAATATAGTTGT